GGTGTACAACAATTAAAAAGAATAAATACATAAAAACAATTTCAAATAAAAAACTATAAAAGCACACAAAACAGGAGGGGATAAAATTAATAAAGGAGCCATTGCAAAATCTCCCCAGTCCCCTGGGACCCCCAGGCCTGATCACATAGCCAGGTCTTGAGGGACTTGTGGAATGTTAAGAAGGATGGAGCTAATCGCACTTCTGGGAAAGGAAGATTCCACAAGGCGGGCGCCACAGCAGAGAAGGCCCACCTCCTGGGACTCGCCAAATGTAATTCTCTGGCAGATGGGACCCACAGCATGCCTTCTCTGCCAGACCTGATGGGACAGGCAGTTGTAATTGGGGAGAGGCGGTGCCTCAGGTAACCCGGTCCTATGCCATAAAGGGCTTTAAAGATCAAAATCAGCATCTTGAATTGGACCTGCAAGCAAACTAGGAACCAATGCAGCTTGTGGAGCAGAGGTATAACATGCTGCCCTAGGGGCACACATAACTGCCCAGGCTGCTGCATTTTGCACCAGCTGAAGCTTCCAGATACTCTTCAAGGGCAGCCCCATGTACAGCGCATTACAGAAATCCAAACGGGAGGTGACTAGGGCATAAATGACAGTGAGTGGGTCCCTCTGATCTAGGAATGGGCACAACTGGTGCACAACACGAAGCTGTGCAAAAGCCCTCCTAGCCATGATTGCCACGTGCTCTTCAGGCAGGAGTTGTGAGTCCAGGAGGACTCCCAGATTGTACACTGGGTCTGTCTGGGGTAGTGCGACCCCATTCAGTACCAAAGATGGCATAGTCCTAGCACCAAAACGGCCCCAAACCCAAAGCCACTCAGTCTTGCCAGGATTCAACTGAAGCCTGTTGTTCCCCATCCAGACCCTCACAGCCTCCAGGCACCGAGATAAGACATTCACAGCATCGCTTAATTCTTCAGGGGCAGAGATGTATAATTGGGTATCATCAGCATACTGATGACACCTCACCCTATGGCAATGGATGAGCTCACCCATTGGCCTCACATAGATGTTAAATAGGAGGGAGGGGAAGCATCGAATCCTGCAGCATCCGACAGAAGAGGGGCCGAGGGCAGGATCTCACCTCCCCAACCACCACCAATGGGAATCATCTCCAGAAGAAGGTGAAGCAGCACAACACAGTGCTGCCCACCCCCAATCCTCTGCGCCGATCTAGAAGGATAACATGGTTGATGGTGTCAAAAGCTACAGAGAGGTCGAGTAGGGCAAGGATGGATGCACAACCCCATCACGCCCTTGCCAGAGATCATCCAAAAGCGCGGCCAGTGTTGAAATATTTGGGTTAATTAGAAAGAATAAAACCAGAAGATTTTTCTTTCACTTTATTCCAAATGGAATTACTGTTTCTTAAAAATCTGTCACTTGTGTGGAAATCTCATCTAGTATAGATGAATTAATAGAGATTGTATACTTCAGTTTTATTTTCAGAGACTATGCTGAATGACAAAGAAGGTTAAATATATTTTAATGCAGTTCCTTGTCTTTTGAATGAAGCTGTTGCTTACAAATTATGGCTATTGCAATAGCCTTTGAAAATAGAGAATGCTTGACCAAAGAACTGCTTCTGCATTTATTATTTGTTCAGACATAAGCTGGACAATATATTTCAGGGATTCTTTAATTTGGATTCATGAACTGAGCACGGGGTTGGGTATGATGACATAATTGGCCCTTTCCAACTCTGTGATTCCAATGAATGATCAATTAAGACCAAAGGGAATGAAGATTAGATGTTCATGCTAATCTTCTTCTTAAGTAAGGACCACTGGAAAATGTTGCTGAACTTTCTTCACCCACTACTCTATTCTCTTCTTAGCATCTCTGTGTTTCTATTCCAATATTAAAATACACATGACAGCTGAATCTTATGCCTGCTTCTCCAAAGGCATATGTTTGTGGATTACCACAAGACATGTAGGGAGACGCGGTGGCGCAGCGGCTTAATGACGCTGAAAGTTGCCGGCCAGAAATGGTCG